CCCCCCCAGCTGTGGTGCAACCACAAATCCCATCATGCACCTGCCTCTGGGAGTCATGCCTATGGCGGTCAGAGTCTAGCGATGCCTAATAGTACTTGTAGTTCCACAACAGCTGGAGGGCCGGAGTTCACCTGCCCCGGTATGCAGTATAACAGACCAAAAAGGAGCAAATAATAGAAGCTGATTGTTGGAGTTTACATACACTCTAACCCAACCCCGAATGCCAACCTTTAAAATCCCCTCGCTCTCCCAGTATATCTAATTATCTGTAAATATAACCTCCTCCTCCGCCGATTCTTTCCCTGCGCTTTGAGTGCGGCCATTACAGGGCTTGGCCAGTGTGAACTTTGCTCTGTTTACATTAAGATTGTTTGTGTCTGCACTATACCCGCAGACAGCGAGGGAGAACAAGTAAGGTATTGACTCCACATATCAGTCTGATGTAAGGTCTTCACTGGAAGGAGCCATAGGTGACCACTTCTATATCGCCGTGCACTTAGGTAATCCGTCACTCTAAAATGTAACCCTAAACCCCATTGGACCTGCACCCTTAAAATCCAACCTCCAGCACTATATCTAAGCTCCAAAACTTAACACTGAGGGCCCAGAAACTCAACACTAACCTGGACGCCAACCTAAACGGCGGACCCGAATCATCAGCACCCAAAGTACTGAAACATGAATGCAGCTCCAATTCTGCGTAGAGTGCAATGGTGAACTGCTCTGTATAGACTTTAGGAAAAAAAGGGCCAGTGCTACTGAGCCTGGCTTCACTTTAAACTGATTTTGCTTTCCAATACAACTTAAACCAGGTCCACTCCAGGCCAGGGGGGAGGTCCACTCCAGGCCAGGGGGGAGGTCCACTCCAGGCCAGGGGGCGGAGAGATAACAATTGCGTTATTGTGTGATTATTAAGTTTGAAGTGGAACTCCAGCCCAATGTTTCCTATTTTAGTTCCAGGCAGAGCTGAGAAAAGCTGAAACCTCTGCCAGGCTCTTCCTGCTATGTGATCCTTGGGGAGATTTCCCCTCACCGTTACCAGGAACGACAAGGGAGGGCAAATATAAGGGGAGATCCCGCTATGCACATGGCCCACTTCTTTGAAGTGAAGGCCGCTCAGCCGATCACAGGGTGCAACTACATTGTGGGGTGTAAATAAGGGAACGGAGCATATTTGTGAACAGTATTAGAAGATCTTTTCTAGAAGTTAAAGCTGAACTCCAACCAAACAGCTCAGATACATGACAGATCTTCTACCTGCCAGAGGGTGACACTACCTTCCATAGCCTGGAGCCCTGCAGGCACCTCTGTGTCACTGCCCCGCCCCCTGTCTGCTCACTGATCATAGGGGTATCACTACACCATGAAATTCTAGGTTCTTTCCTCTGTCTGTACACAACCTAAGCACCTCCTCCATGCAGCTCCCTGTACCTGAAACATGTCAGCATGACTATGCAATACAAGACAGCCTCCCATTCTATCAGTTGACTATAAGGCGCTCATCAAAGTAATTATATTGGCAAAAATTGGCGAATTTAGTGTTTTTTTTAATGAATATCATCATTCTAAAGTCTGTTTTTAGGTTTGCTTGGAGTTCTGCTTTGACTTATATTTAAAGCTGACTTGACTTGAGAGACAACTAGCCACAGAAGACATTCAGCACCGGCCATACACCTATCAATCCGATTGTTTCATTATTATACACAACCAGAAATTATTATTATTCTCCAAAATCCATTTCCCGGCTTTGAAATAAAGACGAGAACCATCGGATGGGTGATGCCCATGGGCCCACAATGGCCATGAGAAGGCACGGGGCGCGCCCACATCCCGGTCGGTGGTCTACTTTTGCACGTTGACCACTGGCGGCTCCTGTAAACCATTGGTGGCGCATCAAACCACTGATCACTTGATAGTATGACGAAAAACTTTGAAGCAACTGATACGTGTATGGCCAACGTAACCAATGTCCGCACATCTCTCTCCACCTAACCCCTCACCCAGCAACTCAGCACTACCTGTTCCTTTACAAACTGTTCTGACCACTGCTCTGCCTGGGAGGCCGCCTGGGACGTATCGCCTGGAGCCTGAGAGAGGGACACGTCCCCATCTCCTATCTTCCTCACAAATTGTAAGAACTAACAGAGGAAGAGAGAGAGAGACATGGAGACTGTGAAATGGGAGGCAAAGACAAGACAGGTCATCTGTTACAACATAAATTACTGTAGGAAGCCTCTCAAAGCCCAACTCCGGGTTATTTTATTTAAATATCCCCCTGGGCCCCCCGAAAAAACAAATCTCAAGCCAAAAATGTTCCCTGCAGTACCGCCTCTTTGCCACAAGATGTCCTCAGTCTTCCGGGTCGCATGACGTCCACCATCACTTCCATCCTCTGGAACTCTTTACCCCAACCTGTCTGTCTGCCTCCCACCTTGACTGCCTTTAGGCGATCCCTTAAGACTCATCTCTTCAGGGAAGCCTATCCCGCCTCAACCTAACCACTGAACCATCACGTTCCCAAACAATTCATCCCCACACAGCTCCCTCCTCATGTATCACTGGCCCCTCCCTTTTAGATTGTAAGCCCTCAGGGGCAGGGCCCTCCTTACCATCTTGTCTTGAATTGTATTGTGATTGTAATGTCTTCCTTATATTGTAATCGCTCGATAAATCGTTGGCGCTATATAAATCCTGTATAATAATAAATCACTCAACTTCTAAGACTAAGGAAGGAGTGATCGCAGGGTGTCATGGCCCCGCCCACTGCGAATGCCATCCTACACTCACAGTGTATTGATGCAAAGAGGAGCACAGGTGTCATCACATTGCACCATTCTCTGCATCATCCAGGGTCACCCATTGATGGGAGAAGATCAAAGAGAAAGAGGACCAATCACATGACCGACCAAAAGACAAAAAAAAAAGTAGGGGGGTGTAACCCAGGGTTGGGCTTTAAGTGCATCTAAAGCCAAAACTCTTTTCGTTTTGGATTGAGCGGGGAAGGGTTAGACCCTCCATCAGGTTTGTATTGCTACCTGTGTCTCTTTGGGGAGAGTCACCCTCCTGGTGGCCACTGTCACAGAGTGACGGAAGTTTAACGTTTTATAGGAGGTGACAACTGTCCAAGAGAGGAATTCCATCACTCCGGGACAGGAAAAGATAGACTGATAGGGATTCCAACTCTTCCCTATTCCATCCAAATAGAAGAAAAGGTTTTGGCTTTACATAGACTTTGATTTGAGGCGCATGCTGTATATCACAGATAAATCAGAACTCGGGGGGGGGGGGTATAGTGTTTAAGGCCCCATTCACAGTGAGCGATTTATCGAGCGATTTTTGCAGCGATATCGCTCATATTTCCACGCGATATCGCTCTATGTAGCTTCTCCAATCCATTTCAATTGAGCTGTTCACATCTCGCCGCTCAATATCGCTCAATATCGCTCAAAGCTCGTCGCTCCTACATGACCCGATTTCGAGCCATATTGCTCCTGATTGCATACGGCCCAATAGGAAAAAGTCGCGCGATGTCGCTCAAAATCGTGCAATTTTCATGTCGCTCAATGTGAATGGGGCCTAAAGGGCAGAAAGATACAACATTGAATCCCGACAAGGGTAGGACGGGCACAGAAGATCATCCCGGTCCATTGTCTACCTGACTGTTGGCCAGTTTGGGGTCGGTGACTTTGGACAGAAGGGATTTGGCCTCTCTCTGCAGCTCGTCCTCAGGCTGGTACTCCTGACACCTATAGGGGAAGAATCAAAAACTTCAGACCAAAAACATATTTTAGAGCTCAACTTAAATTTGATCAAGTTTTGTGAAGTTTTGTGCATCAGGTCGATGGAAATAAATTTTTTAAAGGGCAAGTTCATCTTTTAATAAAAAAATGAACAAGTGAATTACCTCAAAACACCAACCCCAAGCAACCCAGCCCACCCTCAGGTCCCCATGCACCAGCCAGTGTAAAGACACAGAGACTGTGTAGCATCATGAGGCTTGCAATGACTAGTGTCACTGGCCAGTGCGGTCAGGTGACTACACTGACCAATCAGAATCTTTTCTTTCTTTCGGTATTCTGTCCTGAAGGAAAGAAGAAGAGATTCTCATGCGACTGCACTGGTCCATGCCGTCGGGAGCAGTATGATGTTACACAGCCCCAACGTTTTCAACAGTCTGGATTGTTACACCAGTTGGCATGGGTGGTGGAGGAGAGTGTACACAGCAGGGACCGGGGTGGGTAGGGAAGGTGTTAGGAGTTAGTTCACCTTTTAATTTTTTATAAAAAGATGAACTTGCCCTTTAAAAGGAGAACTATGAGGTGAGTGCTTTTCACTCACCTCATAGTTCTAGCCGACCTGTGACAATGAGACTGTCTGAGGTCGGCTCAGTAGAGCGGCAGGTGAGCGAACACATACCGGCGTTCGCTCACCTCTCGCCGTGACAGGGGAGGGGCTGGATTCCCTGCTCCGATCTGCCAGCGCTGACTGGCGGAACGGACGGGGGAGGGTACAGCTGGCTCTGCCTCTAGATAGGCAGAGCCAACTGTCAGTCACGCAGCTGGGCGGATCCAGACAGAATTGTCGGGATCCGTTTCAGCTGCGGCGTCTCAGTATATAGAGAGCTGTAGCTCGCGGTATACTGAGCTTAGGGTAACGGGAGGACGCTAGTTTGTGTCCTCCCGTTACCCTAAGGAGAACTATGGGGAAAAGCCCTGACCCCATAGTTCTCCTTTAAGGGTAGGCATTCCACACTTCCTGGTCGTTAGTGGCTACGTTATCTCTCCATGCCTTTGTGGAGCTCAGAGCGTAGCCACCAAGCTGCTTTCTCTCATGTAGAACTATAGGCTAGGACAAATTGCATGATGGGACTTGGGTGGTGCCATGCACGGGTGCACAGTCCAGCAGGGGTGACTATATGAAAATCACCGAATTGAGTCTTGTTCAATACTGAGAGGCAATCGCTCCTTGTTCATATACACACACACAATCTACTGCTAGACTTCAGATCAAAGTGACCATAACAACCAATCAGCAGGCTGCTTCTCCTTTGCCTTGCAGGTTACAGAACCAGAAGAAGAATCTGATTGGCTGTCATAGATAACACACAAAACTCTTTCAGCCACACTGGTCATCATACGCCCAGTTATGACCTCACCATTTCTCTGCCATGGCTCCCTCCGTCTCCCCCAGCCACAGCTTCTCCTCGGACTGCTGCAGGTACTCCTCGGCCCAGCGGGAGGGCGACGACATGGGGTCTTCATCCACAGAAAGAAAAATAAAACGTGAATTCGAGTTTGCACAAAGTTTATAACTGAAGTCTGGATCGGGTGGTGAAGGGTTAGAGGCTCAGGCAGGTCACTACATTGGTCCGTGTCCCCCTTTGAGGAGACTTCCGCCCACTTCCTGTCCCAACCCTTACTTATTGTCTTCATATCTAAAACAAATAAATGAAATGTGTCTGCGGAGATTCTCATGTGTCCGGGTCCTCGTATATCTAGCGGTCAGTAACAGTCAATTGTTACCGCTTCCTCTCTCGTATCCGTCCCCCCGGTACGGACCAGAGAGATGAGCCAGGAGGGGCCGAGGGTCTGGCGAGTATATATTCTGTATTCCGGCCCCTAGACCCCCCCAAAAAAAAAGATCTTCACCCTCCTGAGGGGCCGGGGTAACCCCACTACAAGGGGTCATTTTTAGATTTCCTGGAGTTATTCTTCACACCACTAACAGTGCGTTCCAGCGTGATTCCAGCTCCCTGCGTTCCGGGATGGGGCGTGGCGGTGCATTGAAGTCAGTGGCACCACAGCCACATACACCGCCCTGCATCAGAATGCGCGGCACATCAATGCTTGCGTTCTGGTCCAGCGCGTCAGAAAAAAAAGCTGCGTGTGCTATTTTTCCGGATTGCACTGGACCTTGATGTGCCATGCGTTCCTGTGCGGGCGATAGCACTGCGGGCAGAGGGGCGTGGCTGAGGTGCCATTGACCTCAATGTACCGCCACACCCCCTACCGCCCCAGAACGCAGGGGGGGGGGATTTAGTATGCAAACAGTGAAAGGTGAAGCAGCTAAATAGGCTTGCCTCTCTGTCACTCTGCCTTCCCCTCCCATCCGCATTTTCCTTCTTATTGCACGAGAGCTGCAACACACCTGACTGACTCCTTGTGCTGCTTCTCTCACTACCAGTCTGAGCTCTGCTGTACAGGGACTGCAAGAAGCTGATACCAGGTCACATCCACGTACTTAGCCTCCTCCCCCCCACCCCTCCTTAGACAGGGCCATATGGAGCTTCAATCAGAGGGAGGAAGTCTCAAAGCAATGTGCATGGAAATCCCTGCCAGGTTACAGATAGCGATGGGTGACAGTCACTGAGGGTTAGCGGATAGCCACAGTCACTCACCTGCTTGGTCAGTGAACTCTCGGGTCCAGTCCTCCTCTTCCGCGGCCTCCGGTTCTTGTTGCAGGAACTCTTCTGTCCAGTTTTCAGACAAAGCCAGGTCTGCCACCCCGGGGGCTTCACACAGAGAAAGGTCGGGGGGATCTGTTAGTCAGCTGACAACTACAGTTGGCCATACATTCTGCAATCAGACTAAAGGCTGTGTAAGGTCAGGTCTCTTTGCTGGCTGTGTGTAGCCGGGTGGAAGGCCAGGTCTCTTTGCTGGCTGTGTGTAGCCGGATGTGAAGTCAGGCCTCTTTGCTGGTCGTGTGTAGCCGGGTGTAAGGTCAGGCCTCTATGCTGGCTGTGTGTAGCCGGGGGTAAAGGTCAGGTCTCTATGCTGGCTGTGTGTAGCCGGGGGTAAAGGTCAGGTCTCTATGCTGGCTGTGTGTAGCCGGGGGTAAAGGTCAGGTCTCTATGCTGGCTGTGTGTAGCCGGGGGTAAAGGTCAGGTCTCTATGCTGGCTGTGTGTAGCCGGGGGTAAAGGTCAGGTCTCTATGCTGGCTGTGTGTAGCCGGGGGTAAAGGTCAGGTCTCTATGCTGGCTGTGTGTAGCCGGGGGTAAAGGTCAGGTCTCTATGCTGGCTGTGTGTAGCCGGGGGTAAAGGTCAGGTCTCTATGCTGGCTGTGTGTAGCCGGGGGTAAAGGTCAGGTCTCTATGCTGGCTGTGTGTAGCCGGGGGTAAAGGTCAGGTCTCTATGCTGGCTGTGTGTAGCCGGGGGTAAAGGTCAGGTCTCTATGCTGGCTGTGTGTAGCCGGGGGTAAAGGTCAGGTCTCTATGCTGGCTGTGTGTAGCCGGGGGTAAAGGTCAGGTCTCTATGCTGGCTGTGTGTAGCCGGGGGTAAAGGTCAGGTCTCTATGCTGGCTGTGTGTAGCCGGGGGTAAAGGTCAGGTCTCTATGCTGGCTGTGTGTAGCCGGGGGTAAAGGTCAGGTCTCTATGCTGGCTGTGTGTAGCCGGGGGTAAAGGTCAGGTCTCTATGCTGGCTGTGTGTAGCCGGGGGTAAAGGTCAGGTCTCTATGCTGGCTGTGTGTAGCCGGGGGTAAAGGTCAGGTCTCTATGCTGGCTGTGTGTAGCCGGGGGTAAAGGTCAGGTCTCTATGCTGGCTGTGTGTAGCCGGGGGTAAAGGTCAGGTCTCTATGCTGGCTGTGTGTAGCCGGGGGTAAAGGTCAGGTCTCTATGCTGGCTGTGTGTAGCCGGGGGTAAAGGTCAGGTCTCTATGCTGGCTGTGTGTAGCCGGGGGTAAAGGTCAGGTCTCTATGCTGGCTGTGTGTAGCCGGGGGTAAAGGTCAGGTCTCTATGCTGGCTGTGTGTAGCCGGGGGTAAAGGTCAGGTCTCTATGCTGGCTGTGTGTAGCCGGGGGTAAAGGTCAGGTCTCTATGCTGGCTGTGTGTAGCCGGGGGTAAAGGTCAGGTCTCTATGCTGGCTGTGTGTAGCCGGGGGTAAAGGTCAGGTCTCTATGCTGGCTGTGTGTAGCCGGGGGTAAAGGTCAGGTCTCTATGCTGGCTGTGTGTAGCCGGGGGTAAAGGTCAGGTCTCTATGCTGGCTGTGTGTAGCCGGGGGTAAAGGTCAGGTCTCTATGCTGGCTGTGTGTAGCCGGGGGTAAAGGTCAGGTCTCTATGCTGGCTGTGTGTAGCCGGGGGTAAAGGTCAGGTCTCTATGCTGGCTGTGTGTAGCCGGGGGTAAAGGTCAGGTCTCTATGCTGGCTGTGTGTAGCCGGGGGTAAAGGTCAGGTCTCTATGCTGGCTGTGTGTAGCCGGGTGTAAGGTTAGGTCTCTATGCTGGCCGTGTGTAGCCGGGTGTAAGATCAGGCCTCTATGCTGGCTGTGTGTAGCCGGGTGTAAGGTCAGGTCTCTTTGCTGGCTGTGTGTAGCCGGATGTGAAGTCAGGCCTCTTTGCTGGTCGTGTGTAGCCGGGTGTAAGGTCAGGCCTCTTTGCTGGCTGTGTGTAGCCGGGTGTAAGGTCAGGCCTCTTTGCTGGCTGTGTGTAGCCGGGTGTAAGGTACGGTCTCTTTGCTGGCTGTGTGTAGCCGGGGGTAAGGTCAGGTCTCTTTGCTGGCTGTGTGTAGCCGGGTGTAAGGTCAGGTCTCTATGCTGGCTGTGTGTAGCCGGGTGTAAGGTCAGGCCTCTTTGCTGGCTGTGTGTAGCTGGGTGTAAGGTCAGGTCTCTTTGCTGGCTGTGTGTAGCCGGGTGTAAGGTCAGGCCTCTATGCTGGCTGTGTGTAGAGGGGTGTAAGGTCAGGTCTCTATGCTGGCTGTGTGTAGCCGGGTGTAAGGTTAGGTCTCTATGCTGGCTGTGTGTAAGGTCAGGCCTCTATGCTGGCAGGGGTGTAAGGTCAGGTCTCTATGCTGGCTGTGTGTAGCCGGGTGTAAGGTCAGGTCTCTTTGCTGGCTGTGTGTAAGGTCAGGCCTCTATGCTGGCTGTGTGTAGCCGGGTGTGAGGTCAGGCCTCTTTGCTGGCTGTGTAGCCGGGTGTAAGGTCAGGCCTCTATGCTGGCTGTGTGTAGCTGGGTGTGAGGTCAGGCCTCTATGCTGGCTGTGTGTAGCCGGGTGTAAGGTCAGGCCTCTATGCTGGCTGTGTGTAGCCGGGGGACACAAAAGGGCCCGTTGTACCCAATGCACTCACCTCGCAGGGGCTGCGGGCGGAAGCTGCTCTGTTCAATCTGCTGCATCTCTGCAAGGAGGCCGTCCATCTTGAAGGTGTGGGGGGCGCGGGTGTGCAAAGACGGAGCACGGGAGTGGAGGAACTCGGACACGAGCTGGGGACACATACAGGGAAAGTGACACGAGGGGGTCACAGAATATAAAATGAAAGTAATCAAACAATGTCAGGAAGTATGAACACACAATATAGCTGCCACGGCAACAACCAATGACATGACGACGTGCCAGTGAGGGGAGAGAAGCGACGCCATCTCCATGTGCTCAGCTCATTGTGGTCGCTCTTCCCCTTCATCCCTGTGTTATCAACTTATAAAGCAGCCACATCCCTCCAGCTGTGGTGGAACTACAAATTCCATCATGCTTCTGGGGGTCATGCCTGTGGCTGGCAGAGCCTTGCAATGTCTCATGGGACTTGTAGTTCTACAACAGCTGGAGGGCCGAGGTTCCCTTCCCCCGTATACATTTTGCTCACCTCATCTTCTGTCGCTTCTCCGAGAGGCTTTGAGATCTACAATGAAAGAAGAAGAATGTAAAAAAGAAAGGGGGGCATGGTAGCCCCTCCTCCCGCAGCCCCTTGTCCTGGGTGAAGTGTCCGGTCAGTTTCATGAGTGGGTTGGATCCTCCACACTCCGCGTCCACCAGTCCCCGCATGGCCATGGCTGCGAGCTGTAAGACAGAAAGACATGAGAAGCGGCAGGACGGACATCACACCCCTCCCCCACACAATGCCGACCTCTCACCGATCTGTGTGTGTGACGTCACTCCGTCTCCCCGATGTCTCTGTTTGCCATGGAAAGCCCCAGCCCGAGTCTTCCCGGCCGACCACAGTCAGAGTTCAGGGGGAGGAGACACACGGGACAGAGATCACCGGGCGTAGACAGCCTGCCAATCACTGGGAGGGGGCGGAGACACACGGGACAGAGATTACTGGGAGGAGACAGCCTGCCAATCACCGAAAGGGGACGGGGAGAAAACAGCCAATCACCAAACGGGGTGGACGGAGCGACGGACTGACAAGTATCTTATGTGAAGGAGAAACAATTGCCAATCACTGCGAGGGGAGGAGCTGAAGACTGCAAATCACCAAGAGGGGGCGGAGAGTCGGACTGAGAAATCTCTTATGGGGAGGAGAAACGACTGCCAATCACAGTGAGGGGGCGGAGAGATGAACTATCAATAACAAGGAAAGGGCGGGGACAGATTACAAATCCCCAGCGGGCGGGGGAGGCCAGAATGGCATCGTCAATCACCGGAAGGCGGCGGAAATAGGATTCGCCAATCACCGGGAGGAGAAGAACTGCCAATCAGCAGGAGGCAGAGAGAACCCAGACTTCCTGTCCGGATGACATGGAAGGAGACCTGGCAGGGTGTGTGTCCGTGGGCGGGGACTGAGAGTAATATGGAGAGGAGGGAACACAAATGAATACGTCATTGAATGCAAAGAGTACAGCAGAGCCCAGACTGGGAGAGGGGGAAACAGCACCGTCAGCATGACAAATAGATGACTGACCCCATCGCTCTGCTGCTTCTGATGATCCTGCTCTGTACTCCGGTGTCTTCTCATGACAATTGGGGTACCCAACATTCCCCGGGATGTGGTTGGCCAGAGAACGAAGTAGGGGAAGGGGGGGAGGGGGTTGTACCACACAACTATTTTTCCCTCCTCATGTTCTTTTTTTTTTGCACTTTCACGCAGCAGATGAATGCAAGTGAAGGCCCCGAGGTGATCGGTGAATATCTCAGCAGCAGTTCTATGAAACATTTCCATCCACGACGAGCCGCGGCAGTGTCTTGGTCCTCCTGCGTGCCGCCGGGATCACCAGGGATGAGGATTATTTTAATACATGCCGCTGCTCCGGGAAATGATTGTGTACAATACAAAATGTCTGTTAACCAGTTGACATCCGCGGTGTTAAACCCCCTTACACGTCCGCCCTCCCCCAAACAAAACACCAAATGTGAATTTATTTTTGTGCATTGGAGACAGCAGAGCATTGCGACCGTGATCAGTGCTCTGTAATAAAGACCGATCACTACTGCTCCCTCTCCTTGTGCAGGGTGACTGGTCTTATCCCCGCCCCCTCCTGTAATAAAGACCGCTCACTACTGCTCTCTCCTTGTGCAGGGTGACTGGTCTCGTCTCCGCCCCCTCCTGTAATAAAGACCGGTCACTGCTGCTCTCTCTCCTTGTGCAGGGTGATTGGTCTTGTCTCCGCCCCCTTCCTGTAATAAAGACCGCTCACTGCTGATCTCTCCTTGTGCAGGGTGACTGGTCTCGTCTCCGCCCCCTCCTGTAATAAAGACCGCTCACTGCTGCTCTCTCTCCTTGTGCAGGGTGACTGGTCTTATCCCCGCCCCCTCCTGTAATAAAGACCGGCCACTACTGATCTCTCTCTCTCGTCTTGAACTGTTTGGTGACTGTGCTGCCTTCCTTTCCTTTGTACAGCGCTACACACACTGTTGTTGTTCTATACGTCCGGTACAGTAATGATAACCTGATACAAGAAGTAGAAATCTCAGGTATCCTAAAATGTAGGGGGAGGGGGGCAGGACTCCAATGACCCGGCGTCGGTCATATCTATCTATCCTAAAAGGGGTTTTACACACCGCACAGCTAAGCCCTCGGGCTGGACGGAGATCACATTTAAAGGGCACGTCCCCCCTTTCCGACCACATTTCAGATAAAACAATTTGGAAGAAACGGTAGCAGGGGCAGAAATGATGATCACATAGACTTCGGATAAAAAAATTATCTCAATTTTATTATACACACACATTAAAATTCCATAATCATAAAAATAGTGTCATATTACCCCAATCACATTGTCCAAACAGGGAACCCCCCCCCAAAAAAGGTAGAAACACCTAAAAACCCAATTACAGTATCAACATTCTTGCCTGGTGTAGTCAGTCCATGTACTCCATTATGTATGCCATAGTTTTGGGGTGTCCAGTGAGGAATCCCAACACGTTTCGCCCTCGTGGGCTTGCTCTGGGGGGGAGGGGGGTCGGAGGGGTTGACAAGCTCGAGACTTGTGTGCTTTACGCCTCGCGGGTGTTGGCGGTTAGGTACGCAGAGAGGGGAGCAGCGACACCGCGACTGAGCATATCACAGGTCATTTGAAGCCTGATGAAGGGGACCCTGCGTGGCCCCCGAAACGTTGCCATTTGTTCTGACATGAAACGGCAATAAACAGGCGTGTTCTTCACTTCAATAGGGTGTGCTGGTGACATCATAACAAATTAGCATATCAAAGCACCCCCCCCCCACCGGCGGTATACCTGTGTGGTCCCCCGCCATGACATGGTCTGGGGGGCACAGTCACCACCCCTCCCCCGGCACCTATACCCAAGTACACCCCCCCCTCCTCGACCGGCGGTATACCTGTGTGGTCTCCCGCCATGACATGGTCTGGGGGGGGCACAGTCTCTCTCCCCTACACATATCCATAATAGAAGAAAAGCAAAACATGATTGTATCACATCACAAAATTGGATGATTGTAAAACACACAAAAACCAAAAATACCAAATCACCAAAAACAACACTCGCACTCGGAGCGCCTCTCGCGTCTCCCCGTCATACTCTACAGTAGCCACTGAGTGACCTGGGAATGCATTTAATGTGTTGATCATTGATGTGTGTGGCATTGTATGTATGTATGTATGTATGCAGTGGCGTAACAATCACCATAGCGACCCAGGCGGCCCCTATGGGGCACAGGGGGGCCCGGCCAGGACATCCCCCCCCATGCCGTGCGGGCCGCCTGGGTCGCTGTGGCATTTCAGGCTGCTGGCTGTCACTGGCGGCGGTGAGGAGAAACACGCAGCCATGTCACATGTGCAGCGGCGCGCACCTCCTCACAGCCGCTGCTGAGTCGATGACAACCAGCAGCTTCGGGGGGGAGAGGCTTGGCCAGTTGTTGGCAGCGATGGGAGGAGGCAGGTCTTAGCGATGGGGAGGCGGGCCCGGCGATCGAGCAGGTGGGGCCTCAGTGACGGAGGAGGCGGGGGCCCGCAAGCGATCGTGGAGGAGAAGGAGGCGGACAGGGGGATCGGCCAGACAGGTAAGAGGGCTTGACCGCCCACCTGAGACCCTGCAGAGCTCACCATAAAGAGTCTGTGGGGGGCTCTGCAGGGTCACCCTCAGGTGGGCTGTTTGGGTTATCAGGTGGGCTGATCTAGAAGTCACAGGGCCCCATACAGGATTTTGCTATGGGGCCCTGTGATTTCTAGTTACGCCCCTGTATGTATGCATGCATGTATGTATGCATGCATGTATGTAT